AGGTGGATCTGAATGGTTCTCGTGAAAAATCCACCCATCAAAAGCTTTTCAAAAATGAAAGACACGTGTCAAGGTGCTTAGCTGAAGGGGCCAGCAGGCAAGGGCTGGGACCATACCCTGTCAGTCACCACGCTGGCCCTGCAGAGGCCCTGAGGGAACACCGCAAGGTAGAGCCTGACGAGCCTCCTCCCTGCCACGCCATCTCTCCTGCCCTGGTTTCTTTTTTTTTTTTTTTTTTTTTTTTTTTTTAAATATTTATTATTTAGTAATCGGCGGGTACAGCATCTTTGTTTGTATGTGGTGCTGAGGATCGAACCTGGGCCGCACGCATGCCAGGCGAGCGCGCCACCGCTTGAGCCACATCCCCAGCCCCCTGCCCTGGTTTCTCTAACAGATACCTTGAGCTCCCTTCTGAGAGGACATTCTCTGTGTCTCTGGTTCATTACAGACTTGTCACAGTATCAAAGTCTAAAAGAGGCCTGGGATCAGGGCAAGAGGGAGACAGATGCAGGCATGTCCGGCTCTCATGTTGGTGGCTCTCGGGCGCCAGATGCAGAATTCTGGGGCATGGCTGCCCACTCTTTTCTAAAGGCAACCTCTTTTCTGAGGTTGGCCGTCACTATCTAGGAAAGAAAGCTCGGCCACCACCAGGGCTGCGAGGGTCTCAGTGCTCTGTTAGTCTCGGGGATTCTATTTAGCTCTGTCCTGACCCTCAGTGGCCAGGTCAGTGTGGCTGGCACTCAGAGCTCTCGAGTCTGCCAAACAGTTACTTCGTTCCTGCATGAAGAAAACAAAACGTCATGCTTAACCAGCAACCCCAATGGTGCCAGCTCCGTGGGGTCCCAGGCCTGGCCTACTCCTCAGCTCTTCAGCTCCAGTGCTCAGACCTGGAGGCTAGAGGTCTGCATCAACCACAGCCTTTGGGCTCGGCCACAGCAGTGTGCAGTTGTGGGGTGGTCCCCAGCATCGAGACCTCTCCATCTCACTGCTAGGAGTGCTCAGTGTCCTCCAGTGACTGCCTGGAGCCCTGGGGAAGCTCTGGGCAGTGCCTCCCAGGTGCTGCCAGGCCCTCCTGTCAGTGACCACTGAAAGGCTGCCAGCTCTCCAGGTGTGGTATCTGGGAACCAGCAACTGTGGGTGAGCTCTGAGCAGAGGGAGTCAAGGCCACTGGGGCTGCCAGGTCTACTTGGGGACCTGAGCAACAGGGCCAGTTTCTGAAGCCCCCAACGGATGGCCACACCAGATGTTCTAGAGAAACAAAAAAAAAAACAAAAAGGCCACTTCTGATGCAGACAGAGGCCAAGATGAAAACAAAGTGCACTGCACGTGTGCGGTGTAGACCGCGGCCAGGCACTGACATCTTAGTGTCCAAACACACACCAGCCGTGTGCCACCTGGTGCTGGCCATTTAGAGGACTGGGTTACAGCTCAACTAGGCAAAGGACCAGTTAGAGACTGAAATCATGATTCCTCACGTGAGAATCGGTCGAGCTTTGACATTACTCTATCAGAACAAATCGCTTGAACTAGGTCAAGCCACGTGCAAGATCACTGGGTTAACCCCTCTCCCGTGGGTGTTYGCAGCTTGAGCATCCCTGGCTCACACAACCAACGTGGCGAGCAGGAAGGGCGGGCTGGCACAGCCGGCCATCGACTCACATCCCTGCCGCATAGGCAGAACGGCTCGGCGCTGAGCGGCCAGGGCAGGACAGGGAAGGCTCCTTACTTGGGAATGATCTTCTGCAGCCTCGCCACCCACGTTAAGAGCATTCAGAGAACTGGCATGCTTCATGCTGCGACACCGACGCGGACATGCAAGGATAAATGGATCAGCATGTCAACCAGCCAGCAGGACACTGGGGTCCCTGGGGACTGGGCCTTCCCTGGAAGTCCCTTGCTGTTTTATGCCCCAGACAAAAGCCCAGTTTCCTGCATCTCCCAACAAAGAGCCCATGGTTCTCGGACACACCAAGCCCCTCTGCCATGTCTGCCCTGGGGCTCTGGAGGCCTGAGGGCCTCATGCAGGGCTCAACCCACCCAGGCCAAACACGGAGCTCACTGTGAACATCCATGAGACACATGAGTATGTTCTGTATTTCATACTTTTTATATATTAGGAAAAGCAATTTTATCATCAGTAAGAAAAACTCTGAAGGCAGTATTTCTTACTTTAGAAAACCAACATTTAAAACAAATTTTATGGCTTTACGTGTAAAAAAACACAGCCATTTATATATACATTCACTTTCCCCCACCGTTTGATGACTACAGTACTTGAGCTGGCCTAGGAATGACCTGTAGCCTGGGTTTAGATCACGGAGGCTACAAAAATCACTGCACTGTTCACCTCCTTCACGGACACCTCTGGACACGAAGCCACTTCCACTTTCACACAGTGATGCGGTGCTGAGGTCACTGGAGTGCTCCCGTGGGACCCTGGTTCTAAATGTGGCTGCACACCAGTGAGCACGGGGACACGGAGGACAAGGGTGCCCAGCCAACAGCTGTGGGCCAGCTCTCGCTGACACAGTGACACGCAGACCACAGCTTACCTTTCCCAAAGCAGAACCCACCCAGGGTGTCCAACAGGACGGACTGTCCAGCAGCCGCCCGGATGCTGCCAGAGGCCCCCACTAGTTCTCCTCTACCTAGGCCACTACAGACCAAGTGCAGCCACATCAGCTCAGCCTTGTCCACGGCTCGACTGTTCTCTTCTCCCTGYGGCCAGCTGGTTTCTTCTAAGAAGGCAATGCAGCCTTCTCCCACAACTCTGCAGGATGAAAGCAGCGGCGGGACCCCTCACAGTGACTCTGTCTTTCACTCTGGGGCATCAGGACGATGGCACACAAGTCCAGCTCAGCAGTGGGCCACCAAAGCCTGCTCCTGGAACGTCCAGTCAGCAACTCCTGTGGCAGCCCCAGGCCAATAGGCTCAGCCCCACCCAAGCACTGGCTAGAAAAGCAGGTGCTGGGGCCCCTGGAAGCCAACAGCAGGACACCAGGGAGGGCCAGGCAGCCCATGGGAGTGCCCGAGAACACTGGCCTTGTGGTCTCATGGGATGGGAGCCCCAAGGCCACTGAGGACGCACTGGGCTGTGTGAGCACAGACACCACTGCCATCCTCAGGCTAACCCTGCAGCAGTACTGGACACAGTGCAGGGCGGCCACACTCTGCATGTCGGAAGCCAGGTCTTGGAAACAACAGAAAGATGCTGACTGCTCCCACGTGGGAAGTGTGGCCGTGTCCCAGGGCTCAGAGTCAGAACTAGGGTGTGCACACCAAGGCCTTCAAAATGTCCACAGCCTCAAGCCGCCAGGGTGCCTCCCTCTGAGGAACTAAAACCCTGGATAGGGTGTTCTGATGCACAAATTGTTCTGCTCAGAAAGGTCCCCCTGCAGGGGCAGACCTAGCAGCCGTGGGGCACTGTCGGCCCCTCCCAACGTCGTAAAAAGGCAAGCATCCAGCTGTTCCAGAGTCACTCAGTGTACCTGTCACTCTGTGTGACCTGTCACTCCAGGTCTGGGAACAATCAGACACCTCACCCCACGGCAGTCCAGGGCCACCTTCCAAGTGAGAGAGCACGGCAGCACTGCACCTGGCCAGCCGGGGGCGTTGTGCCAGGGCCCAGGCGGTTTCCACCAGCTGCAGGGACCCTGACCTCCCCGACAGGTGTTCCTGAGGGGCCCATAGCAGCATAGCACTGCTTCTGCCCAGGGACACCCAGCTCCCAAAAGCCACCAGAAGTTTTCACCCTCAAGTGGAGTGACTCCTAGAGGGACAGAGTGGCCAAGAAGGCCAAGCACAGAGTGGTGGCCACTGTGGACCCTCTGGCCAGACCCTCTACTGGCTACTGAGGCACCAGGTGTGGGTGATGGCAGGGTCTCGGGCACAGGTCCTGAATGCCACTGAGGCGATCAGACTGGACATGGTTTTAAAGGGCAAAATAACAAACAGCTGAAAAGGTCAGGACTTGGCATTTCTCACAGGTCCCTGGTAGACTGACAGCCCTGAGCTGACCAGAATTTCGACCACAGAAGGTTTCACGTGGGATCGCCTCCCCGCCACAGTGGTGGGCATTGAACCCAGGGTGCTCTACCACTGAGCATATGCCCAGCCCTTTTTATATTTTATCTTAAGACAGGATCTTGCTAAGTGCCTCCAACTTGCGATCCTCCTGCCTCAGCCTCCTGAGCTCCTGGGATTACAGGTGTATGTCGCTACACCCCGCTGAAAACTGGCAGTGTGGATATGACTGTAGAGAAGACTCCAAGACCCATGACTTAGGCCTTTCTTCAAACACATAGAAACTGAAAGTATGAAAATACAAACTCTTTTTATAAAAGCCATAAAACTACAGCCCTTCTTTCAAAACCCTTTTTGCTCCTGATAATGATATCTGCATGAGAGTTAAAGTAGTCATAGCTAACGTGATTTTGAAAGATTAAAATTTTAAAGGATTTGAACTAATGCTAATTAAAAAAAAAAAAAAAAGTAATGCCTATCAAGGGTAAACAAGTTCCAAACTCGCAGTGTTGTAGTATTCAATATACCCACTTTTCCCGGCAAAGGCTTTCTTTAAACATGTAACAAAATTGAAGTCTACAAATTTCTTTTGAAGGCATCAACCCTTTGGGCCTCTAACAGGAAGTTTTACAATTATTTCCATCTTGGACAAAGATGGAACCTACTAAACCCCTCCCCGTTGCTGAATCTGGGCCCATGCAGGAGGTGCCTCAGGGGGCCTAGTGAGGAGCAAGGGCCTGGGTGGGCAGGAGGGCTGGGGAGATAGTTACCCGGGGTTCCTCGGCTCACTCTCTCGTGAACTTCCTCCCTTCAGCTTCCTAACCAGCTTCTCACTGCTGCGTCTAATGGAGGCCCGGAGTTTGCTAAAGGAACCACTGCGTTTTAAAGATCCAGTGCCATCCTGAAAAAAACGTGAACAAATGTGAAGCTGCAGGAGGACCCCCCCCCCAGGCCCAGCTGGGGGCATACCAGGACGCCCAGCCCGCCCAGCCCACCCAGCTCAGCCCAGCCATTCTAGTCCTGAGAAGCCACCAACTGGCCGTGGGCACAGAAATCCATCCACGTGCAGTTTCATTACAGATGAGCCAATGGTGGTGAGACCCCTTGAGTGTGGAGCAGCTCACAGAAACCAAGCCATCACATTCCCCAAGGCAAGTCAATTAGATTGCTGCCCTGAGACAAGGACAACACACACTTTAGGAAACTAGGGCAGCTTTGAGGAATGTCACCAAAATCAAATCCCGTGTTCAATAAACAGGTGAACATCTGGTCTAGACAGTGAATCCTCTGGACCCTTCCAGCTACAGGCAGCACCCAGCAAACAGAAGGGTCTCCTTCAATGTCGGTATCAATGTAGTGAGAAAATTAGGTGCAATGTTCATTTTCTACAAATAACTAAACATCCTCAGACACCCTGAAGAAAGCAAGTAAAGAGGGACCACCTGGCACCGTGACCAGCTCAGACACTAGGAATGAACTCCTGACAGAACCCAACAGAAATCAGACACAGAAGGAAATGTGTGTGAACAGCGACGTTTATTCTGAGAACAGCCCCTCGGTGGGACCCAAGGGACCCGTGGCTCAGGGGCTCTGCAGCACGGCGCTCAYGGACCCAGCAGACAGACGCAGGACACAGGTCAGCCGGAGTGAGTTTATTAGAAGTTAGAAAGACACAAATACACACGTCACTGAGCACTTGAGGATTAGTAGAGCAGAGCAGAATCGCTAAACTTCACACAAGACTACACAGCAAACTACTGCAGCGTGTCCTGGAGGCCCTGCAGGGCCCCGCCAGGCCTCTAGCACAAGGGGGACGTGCAGCACATGCCCTACTCCTACAGCTCGCCACTGTCCACAGGTCACCGTCATGCCACCATGGTAACTCCTGTGCGACACTTCTAACTACCTGGAATCAGAGTGAACAGCTAATCGCTCTTAATTTTTGAACTTGTGTATTACACAGTAAATGGATTTTATTAATACAGTTCTTATTACTAAATACATATCTGGCAAAGCTACATGTATACAGAAATCAGGAGCCCCCAAGAGGACAGCAGCACCGAGAGGAATGGCCAGTCACAGAGGTGCAGCTCTGACAAGCTCCTAGGGGCTGCTAGACACAGCGGGCAGCACTGAAGAGAGAGGGAAGCCGGAGAAGGCGCCACCCGTCATGCAGGAGCAGTGTGAGAGGCACACGGGCGGCTAGGCCTGTCAGACAGAAAGGAGAGAGAGCCACGTGAACCCGCGGTGAGGACAGGGCAGCAGATCACGCTCCACACAGCTTGGTTACAGTACTTCTAGGTCACGGCTCTCACAGCACTGTGCAGCCTCAGCAATGGGCACTGCCTCTGCCACCTGCTTCTACCAGCCCTGCAGAGAGCAGGTGCCCAGCCCCAGGGCACCCTACAGAATATCGGTGGGTACTCCTGATGGTCGTCAGAGTAAAGGGAGCATTCTGGGAGTGTGGGCTGGCAAGTCAGAAATTTCCTTGAGGCCCACTGTGAAATTTCTCACAAGTAACTACGTCGAGCAGACTTGGCACTGGAAGGCATCTGCTGGGACCAAAACGTTGGCCACCTGGACCTCTCCTGGGAAGTTCTCCCTCTTAAGCCTCTCCTGGTACCCCACACTGTGACTGCTCCCCAAGTCAGGCAGGACTCCCACTCTCTTAAAAACACTAACATCTTAGACATTTCAGAACTTAAGAACCACTGATTTTAAAAGTCGACAGCACATTTTAAACATGCAGTTGACATCCTAAATAAAATGAGTTTCCACGGGCAGCAAGGCCTCCTGGGTCTGGCCCGAGGACAACCGCATCTGACAGGAGCCCAGATGCAGGCCTGTCCCCAGCCACTTGACTCACCATGGGGCTCACGCTGAGCAAGTCACTTAACCAGCCCGAGCTTCATCTTTCTCATCTTTAAAATGGAAAAATAAAACTTGTTACCAAAGCCTCAAGAATGCTGGGAGGAAATAAATCAGAAGTTCCCACTGCTCTTTCACAGAAAGGAGGCTGGTGCTCTGTGCCTGCCATCCACTGTGCCCACAGCAGGTGCTCACCTTCCCCAAGCTTGACCCTAGGCTAACCACAGGGTCCAAAGGATCTCAAGGTATGGGTACGCACTCACATGCACACGCACACACACGCTTGCAGCTGCTGGGGAGGAAGGTGACACTCGTGCAGGCCAGCTACCACTTCCTATGAGCCCTGCAACCAGGTCTGAAGCTAGTACTCAGGGCTGGGCTGGGCCAGAGGTGGGCACATCTGCCCCCTTAGGGTTGGTCCCCACCCTGCATGTGCCACCTAAGGACATGACCACCCAGAGACTGGACAGAACTCCACCGGACGGACTGGGAACTAGGAGGCCCCTGCATGCTGACACTTCTTTACATGCCATGAAGACATTCATGTCGCACAGGGGCCTCTGAGCAGGGAGGCTGCAGGTGCTGCAGTTTTTAAATTTCCCTTTTGGTATAATCTAGTTGTCTTCCTAGTGTAATTTTTCAAAAATAAAAATCTACTTCTAGTTAACCATTATCACCTTCCCCAATAATCCTGGGTAAGAGGAATTCAGTATATTACAAACTTAGTGAAATCTCAGCAAAGAGCAGCCTGGGAGACGGGAGACAGCCAGGGCAGCTTCTGAGCTGGCAGCAGAACCAGCAGAGGCCGGGGATGGAGGCTCCCTGGGCACAGGGGGCTGGAAGCGCATCCTGACACTGGCTTAGTAGACCTCGACCCAGGACAGCCCAGAAGGGCCCCGTGGTGCCTGTGACTGAAGCACCCACTTCACAGGACATAAAGCCCCTGGACAGAGGCCAAGGAAGCTGTTTCACCCAGAAAAGGGTTCCCAGATGGGGGCAGCTGTGCTCACTCCAGGGGGCTCAGGAGCCCCAGCTGCCTGCGGAGCCCCAGGGAGTCGCAGTCTTGGCAGGGCACAGGCAAGAGAAGAGAGCTGTGCCTCCTCAGCAAGTGACCCCACTGTTCAGACCTGACACCCACGCTCCCCAAGTCCTCAGCATGCCAGTGACCTTGCTGGCCTTCTCCTTTGTTCACATGACCCTGCTTAAGGGGCAGGGGCAATGACCAGGACCGTCTGCCTTGTCTCTGACCATGGCACCCTTTGTTCTATGCCACTTCTGAATTCTGAAAAAACTAAGGTCCTGTGGAAATGGCCACTGTCACTTAAGCAAAAGGCCTTGCACTGGCTCTGCTGAAGCTGCCACAACCCAAGAGAGTGACAGATGGTTTCCCCCACGTGGCGGGTTCCGAGGTTTTGAAGAGCACTGAGGAGCTGGGTGAAGCCCAGTGTTGGGGCGCTGGCCCGGCATGTGCCAAGCCTGGGTTCCTTCCCCAGCAACCCCACCCATTATCAGATACAGAAATTCTTTTTCTAAAAATTAAAAAAATTTATGCAAAACCACAATTTAAAATAAAAACTTGAAATCTGAGGTTAGAGGTGACTGGTGCAGTCTTGAAATCTGAGGTAAGAGGTGACAGGTGCACTCTTGACATCTGCCTCAACACCCAGTTTGTTTGTTTTATCTCAAATGCATAATCCTGAAAAAAAATCTTGAGACACACAGTGGTTGCCAGATTTTCAAATGTGTGACCTCGAGGAAGCCTTCACTTACAGCCGGCAGGAGAGACCATTTGATCGTTGGTGCAGACAGACGAACACACTGGGCTGCAGCATGCTCACGTCTGAACGAAGTGGACTCCCTTCCTCGTGTAACCACACCTCTCACAGCTGACAAAATAAATGCCTGAGTGTGCATATGGCCTCCACTGCCTCTTTAAAATAATGGAAGTACAATTTGAAAATAAAATGCAAATCAAAAGCCCGGGGAGGGGAGCTCAATGCTGCAAAGAGCAGTCTGAAGGCCACAGCCATCCCAGGACTCAAGGCCTTGGCCACTCCATAGGAAGAAGGGCACCCTGCCCCATTCAGGAACCTCTGAACTGGGTGACCTATGGTTCACAGATGGTTTCAATAACTCAACCCTGCAGCCAAGGCGCCCTGAGGCACCACTGTCTGGAAGTCAAGTGTGCTACTTAGAAAGTAAAGCCCCAAGTCACCACACAGGTATGTCCTATGTGATAATGTATCCAAAGTGAGAAAGGAAACAGGACAAGAGAGAGTGGGGGGCGCTGCTGCCCACCACGTGGCCACCTCCAGCCACATCCAACTGGGAAAGTGCCCAAGCCCCTTCCCAGGTGGACAAGAGAAGCCCCCCTTCCTTCCCCAGCACGTCCTGAAGACATGGTGGAGCCCTGGGCTGTCACAGTCTCACTGCCACAAAAGTCATATAGACATGGACCTAGAAATACTGTCTCAAGAGAAACTCCTCCAGAACTTCATACAAGAGAGTCAAACTCTGCACGCAGGCGTTGAAGACCAAGCAGGCAGGCCCCTCTTTGGAAAAGCATGCAGGCACAGAGCAGCTGAGAAGAGTACAGTACACAGCTCCAACAGGGCAGGCATAGGCAGGAGGACTCCCTGTCCTCACTGCAGTTTGGGACCACTGCCCAGCTGGGCTTCAGCAGTCAAAGCAGATGCTGATTGGTTGTCTTGGCACAGAAAGATCCAAAGCAAGGAAGCTGCCAGGTTAGGACAATGGATAGAATATTCTCCCTGAAACTCTGGCTGCTCCACTTTCCAGACTGCTCAGTTGGGATGCAAGCTCCTACCAATCTGCTACAGCTAAAGAAAATCCTGAAGAACAAATGGATTCTTTATAAGACAGACATAAGAAGCCCCAAACTGCAGTTTAACAAAACTGCACAATGGCAGCTAATCAAACCACTGCTGCAGCTTCAAAAACTCGATGGTGCACATGGATGGCAAATCCTTGCTGACGAGGACACCAGTTCCATGTACAGAAAAGTAGCTGGGGTCACATGCTCCCTGCAACACTGGGTAGACTGGGCAGTGGACTTCCCCAGAGCCAGCCAGTGCAGCTCTCGGGGGTCTGCTTGTTTCAAACACAAGCAGTCTCCACCTGAGAAGCTGGACAGGCAACAGTGAAGAGTGGGATCGCCAGACGCCCCAAGAGTGAAGACTTGGCAGGCAGGACTAAGGTGGGTCAGTGGGAGGAGTGGCCACCCTGATGCTTTTGTCCATGAGCTATTCTTCTCTAAAAACAAGTTCCAACATCTCTCTGAAGATGACCTGGTTAATTCTAACACATCCAGAACAGCCAGCTCAGTGAAGTCGGGAGCACTGAGTTAGCAGTGAAACAGGCAAGTTAGAGAAGCCAGTTAGTCGTCTACCGACTCCTTGGGTGACACGAGACCTGAATATGGCCAATGCTTTGAGTCGCCAGGACACTCAGTCAGCATGGAGAGCTCAGGGGTAAGTCAAGCAGCTCTCGTGGGCTCCCAAGAAGAGGCTACACAGCAAGCAAGCGGGAGCCTGGAGTATGAGCAGCAGTGAGGCTGTGGGACGCTGCAGGCACTTGATTTAGGAGAGGAAAAGGCCTAGCAAGGAGATGGACGAGGGCCGCGAGCACGCCCGCCAGCTCCGCGCAGCTGGCTGTGCGCTGTACTTACCCCGTTCCACTCTACGCTCATACTCACTTCCTCCCCTCCGTCAGGGCCACTCTCGTACTTGACCACGTCCACATTGAGACTCTCCCGGCTCCTCCGCTTCTCCATGTTCTCAGGGTCATTTAGCACTTCAGCCACTCTCTGTTTGTGAACAGTGTCAAGACCCTGTGAGCCAGGCAGGGGAAACGTGGGACCCATTAGCAGGCAGGTCTGAGCAGGGGTTTCTCAGATACTTCAAGAAAAGACCAGCTGGTAAATTATCAGGAGGAAAAAAAAAGTCAGGAAAGGGCACAGGGGAGGGCTTCCTAATGATAATGACAGGTCGGGATTACACAGTGTCCACAATGCCACAACTCAGGACTGCGGTACACTCTCTGAGTGTCCACTTCAAATTAAAAGCTGTAAAGAGGCTGGGTGTCGTGGCACACACCTGTAATCCCAGCAGCTCAGGAGGCTGAGGCAGGAAGATTGTGAATTCAAAGCCAGCCTCAGCAATTTAGGGGGACTCCGTCTCAAAATACAAAATAAAAAGGGCTGGGGATGTGGCTCAGTGGTAGAGCACCCTGGATTCAATCCCTGGTTCAAAAGAAAAAAAAAAAAAAAAGAGGCAGAAAGCTATAAACAGATACTGAGCTCTAGGTAATGATTTATACTGAAATATTCAGTAGGAAGTGTACGGATACCTACAAATTATCTGAAATGCTTCAAAAGGATGGAAGGATGGCTAAGAGAGATGGGGTCAAGTGTCTGAAACATGACACAATCCAGTGGAGAACTAGGGCGAGCCCTATACTTCCTCAGGTGTGAGGAGTTTCACGGGATGCTAGGAGACACCTGGTGTCTCAGGTACATGCTTGAAAACTAATGTGTTTTTTTTTWAAAAACCAGGGATTGAACCCAGGAGAACTTTACCACTGAGCTCTATCCCAACCCTTTTTATTTTTTATTTTGAGACAGGGTCTCACTAAGTTGCTGAGGCTGGCCTGAAACTTGTGACCCTTCTGCCTCAACCTCCAGAGTCCTTGGTGTCATAGGTGTGTGCCATTGTGCCTGGCTTTACTTCTGTTCTTTTTTTTTTTTTCAGTTGTAGATGACACAATACCTTTATTTTATTTATTCATATGTGGTACTGAAGATGGAACCCAATGACCTTCACATGCTAAGCAAGCACTCTACCACTGGGCTACAACCCCAGCCCCTACTTTTATTTTTCTTTTAGTTGTTGATGAATTTTATTTTATTTATTTATATGTGGTGCTGAGAATCGAACCCAGTGCCTCACATATGCTAGGCAAGCGCTCTACCACTAAGCCACAATCCCAGCCCCTCCCCCTAAATTTTTTTTTTTTAAGAGAGAGAGAGAATTTTAATATTTATTTTTTTTAGTTTTTCGGCGGACACAACATCTTTGTATGTGGTGCTGAGGATCGAACCCAGGCCGCACGCATGCCAGGCGAGCGCACTACCGTTTGAGCCACATCCCCAGCCCCTTGATAGAAATTTTTTTCAACCAGCCACTAACTCTCAAAAGGTATATTTTACAAGCACTTTTTCACAGCTTAGGAAGTGATGAGCAACTCAGGAGGTTGAGTCAAGAGGATCGCAAGTTGGAGGCCAAGCTGGGGAACGCGGCAAGACACTGTCTTCAAATACAAAATAGGAAGGGCTGGGGGCACAGATCAGTGGTGGTGCACTGGGCTCCAGCCCCAGTACCAAAATAAGAAAAGGGAGTCACCAGCGGAACGAACACGCATCCTCTCCTGTCCATGGCCCCTCCTTGGTGTCTGTATGAGGCCCAGTGCACGGGAGTCCCAGCAGGAGACCCCTATGCCCCCCCCCCCCCCCCCCCCCCCCCCCCCCCCCCCCCGCAGCCTGGGTCACAGTGAGCAAGTCTGACGTCCTGCTGTGGACATTGCCCCTTCCCTGCCTTCTGTGGCTTCTTCCCTCTGAGGCACAAGCCCAGAAGAGACAGGGACTTGAAGCATTCCCAGGTCCTTTCTCTGCACTGCTTCAGCCCCCAGCTCCACACTCCAAACACACCACATGTCGCCTAACCCCAGTGCCACCACCTGTCACAGGACTAATATCAACCCTGCCCCAGGCCCCACCTGGGACCCCTCCTCACACAGGGAAGCGTTCTGCACACCAGCTGCAAATGGAGAGGGCCCAGGAAGAGGAGCATGGTTAGGGCAGGGCAGGGAAGAAAGGCTTCTGCCCACACTCACAAGTATGTTGTCCTCTCTCCTCACCTGTGAGACTACTCTATAGGACACGTCACTCAGCAAAATAGTGGCTGTAAACCCACAACTATAAAAATAGCCTACAGGTATTCCAGTCAGAGAAAAAATACCTACACCTGTCCCCCAACCCTAAAAATACAAAACAGAAACTGCCACGGTCATACGTATACACACACACCTCTGCATAAAAATAACTCCTTACTCCTGAACTGGTGGCTAAAAGGCACGAACAAGCATCTTTCCTGTCTCAGCACTGTTGTTTTATCGCTAGATGAGGAAAAAAGGGCTTCTTTACAGAATCCCCACTAATCAGGTAGCAAAAGGTCCAACCAAGCTATTAGCCTTCTGACAATGGCCACCTGACAATGGCCAGCTGCCACTGGAGGACAGCCAGCCTCCACAGCAGCCATGCCACAGAGCGGACAGTTCAAAAGGATGCCCTCCCTGGAGTCTGTGTATGGCCCAATCTGTGCAGGGCACACACAGGGGCTGCTCTCCATAGGCATCTCTAGTGTGCACAGTTAGGGGATTTCATAACAGGTTAAAAAAGAAAACTATGAAGCAGACATCTTTTTCATCTAACTCCTTTAAAAAGAGACGCAATGTATGTAACCCAGAGGTAGGCAAGTGCCAGTGACTGTCAGCTTTGTGCTATCTCGTTCAGGAACTTTCCCCACCCCAAAAGGGGCCTTTTACCACTGCAACTGCTCCACTCCTCTCCCCAGCTCTGCTTTCTGCCTCTGAGTATTTGCCTGCTCTGAATGCCTCGCTTCACCAGGACAGAACCCTACAGCTGTCAGTACTCCATTCCTTTAGATAGCAGGATAACCCACCTGTTTACGAGACCTCATGGCGGCTTCTTCTAATGTCTCTGCAGCTTCAAATTTCCCTTGACGTCGGTAAAGTGCTCCAAGGTTTTTCAAAGTAGTTGTAACAGTCGGGCTGTAAAAAAAAAGCATACGACATGCAGCACTGTTAGGGACATGGCTTAGGTGGCCACCATCACAGGTTTGCCTAGAAAAACCCCGCAGCACTGAAGTACGGATGAGTACTGCCATATTCCAGGCCCTTGCTTCCCTTTGCGCTGCACAGCCTGCTTTACTGTCAGTGCCTTGGGCACAGAGGGCAAGCAGGAGTCACTCACAGTCTGCTGGCAGGGGACGCCATGGGACATGTTCTTCCTTCAACTGCAATGTTCTGAAGAGCACTCCCAGCCCAAAAAGGCCTGCTGCCAACGCCGTCAGACCCTGCTGCTTCCAGCAAAGCTCACAGCAGGCAGACACTGAAGCCATCCAGGGCCTGGCTGCTGATGGTCCTCTGGCCACCACAGAGGCATGTAGCTGGCCTACTCAGGGGTCAGCACATGCTCCTGGAAACAGAGCTCAGCCTGTGCTGGGCAGGATTGAGGGCAGGTTGCCATGTTGCAGTCATAACCTCCTGTCTCATTAGAGGCTCATCAGCTAATGACAGGTATGAGTTGAAGAAGCAAGAGGAGACTGCAGACAAGTTGGACTCCTAACAGGAAGGTCTATTATGTCAGCAAACCCCGCAGCATTGCAGTACGGATGAGTACTGTGAGAGCTGTTTTCCCTCATCAATGTCGGGCCTTTCCAGTACACTCCCATATCTGTAAGACCAGTGCTCAGAGGGTAGGAAGAAGAGATGTGCTTGTCATGTACTGTCTATTTTCCTGAAATAGACAAGAGGGGAGCCGAGTCTTCGAGAAGGAGGAAGTTGAGACAGGGAGATAGAAGCAGACAAGGGGCACTGCTCTGATGGGCCTTGGCAGCCCTACTGCATGTGAGTGCAGGTGACCACAGGCTTGGGAGACTCACCCCCAGAGCCAAAAGGGCAAAGCATGCCCCGAGCAGCTGGGGAAGGCTTTCCAAGTGCTGGCCTTCTGAGATCTTCTGCACATCCGCCCTGGGAGCTGCAAGGCTGCCTCAGTGCTGTTCTCCTCATTTAAGTCCCACACTTCCTTCCACTGGGTGGTTTTCTTTGACAGAGCAGCAGTGGGCAGACCCACTCTTTAATAGTGGGCTGTGTGCATACAAATAATCCACTAGCAGAGATGGTGGGATTTCATGAATGGAACTGGGGGAAATCTGGGACTACCCAACACTGGGGACATCCCCACATCTGACCTTCCCAAGCTGCTCCTACAGCCCTGCAGCACCTCTCTATAGTGCAGGTCTTTGGCTGACCAGACCCACCTGTCAACTTTGCAGGCTTTGTACCAGCCTCCGTACTCTCCAAAAGACGACCCGTCCTTCTGCTTTCCCTAAACCGTAACAGAGAGTTAACATGAAGGCTGTGAGGGCCGAGCACCCACACCCCTCCGCTCAACCAGCCTTACTTTGCACTCTTCCCTTTCCTCAGCGTGCATCCAGATGGGCTTGTTTTCATCTGGGGAAGAATAACAACATTCGGTAAGCCGCAGAGCAAGAGCCCAGTGAGCAGAAATTGTTAGGTCTCGGTGACTGCAAGGTTTGTGGACAACACTTCTTCAGTATTACTCCTTATAACTTGGACAGATCAAGTTCATGCTGGAGGAGATGCAGAAGCATTCCAGGCAAGTGCCTGGCCAAACAACCCAACAGATGCAGGCTCATGTCATACTGGAAGCACTCAGAAGTTGAGCACCTCACATTAAACCTAAGTCTGAGAAAAAGTAGAAGATTTGGGGAGCAAAAGCAGAAAAGATATAAATCAATATTCCTTCGAAGTCTCAACTGCTCAGAACATGAATACCTCCCACTAGACAATGAACCCACGCCACAAAAGAAAAAAAGAATCTTAAAAATGAGGCTTATGAAAAGGCCTTTCTGTCCTGTGTTTTAGGATTTGCACGGAGAATAAATTCGGTAAAGATAACTGCTTTAAACTTGAGCCCGACTAACTAAACTGCCCATTACTACCCTGAGCAGCAGCAGACAGCAAATCCAAGAAATCACTTAACTCCAGGGGAACTTTTGAAAAGGAGCATCAGGAGAGATGACCTGGCACCTCTGTGGCTGGTAAGTCAGAATGCTCCCTATGAACTGTGACACTCCAAGCAAGCGGGACAGTCAACCCTGCCACATGGCTACACCAGACCTCCTGGCCTGGCAAATCCAGGGCCTACTGCAGCCTCTGCAGCGGACTGACCACTCCACTCACTAGCAGAGAAACAAAGTACGTTTTTTGTGGGGGTTTTTTCCTTCTTTTTTTTKGGGGGGTGGGGGTGACTGAGGATTGAACTCAGGAGTACTCAACCACTGAGCCGAATTCCCAGCCCTATTTTGTATTTAGAGACAGTCTCACTGAGTTTTGCTGAGGCTGGCTTTGAACTCTTGCTCCTCCTGCCTCAGCCACTGGAGCCTCTGGGATTACAGGCCTGCACCATGGCACTTGGCTACAAAGTACATTCTTGAAAAATGTTTCCAAAGTGGTTTCTAGAAAATCTGTAAAAGGAAAAAGTAACATGCTTCTGGCAGCTGTCCCACACAGCTTTGATGAAGCACAGACACGTGCTGCTGATGCCCCTAGAGCAGCGCTCAGGCCCACACTCCAGCACCATCAGCCCACGTCTCACTGTGGCCAAGAGGCAGGTTACACTCACAAGTCTCACACAAGACACCAGTAGAGCTGGGGAACTGCTGGGGAAGTCCAAGTTACACCATGGAATGACCAGTTCCAGATGTGACACAGAGACCCAGGAAATGGCAGAACCACCTATTTCCATGCCGTGAAGAAGGAAAATACTGAAATTCTTTTTCTAGGATGCAACACAATAAAGTGCCTTAGCAGTAAAAACAAAACAAAACAAAAAAAAAAAACACTCCATGTGCATCAGTGACCCACATTCTGCGGTCCCTGCATGCCATACCACCAACTGGCCCTATCCTGAAGCCTGGGTAACACCCAGTGAGGGAAAACTAACACAATTATTATTTAACTGAGCAGTTTAAATTCAGTAAAATATTTAATCCACAACTGTGTCTTAAGCACTTGCAACACTTGACGGATCTAAAGGGGATATGGCCTGGCTCTTTGAGACAGACAAATGGCAGGTTACATTGCCAACAGGCTGGGCTGCTGGGGTCACAGAAGTACCCTAGGCAGAGTGGAGGCTGCAGCTAGGTGCTCTAAGCTAATATGTACAGGCTGTGGATAAAGAAAGCAAACTTAAGCAGCAGCAAGGAAAGACTTAAGAAGTAAGTGGCCCTAAGTTCCTCAGCAAGGAAGGTCTTCTCAGAGCTACCAAGGAAACCCAGCAAAGCACACGCAGGGCTCTCACCACACTTACTGAGCAATGGACACTTGAACAAGCAAACACGTGAATGGACACTTGATTGACCATGCTCTCTTCTCATTTAGAAAACCATGAGATTCAAAGCAACTTCTATCTAGAAAACACTGTGAGAACTGGGTACTGCATAGTTGGAAATCACACTTTTTAATACATGAAAGCCTTCTTACCATCCACAGAACCAAACTCCCGCTCATGTGCACGAGTGAGAATCTCTTTGTACAATGTTTCTGCTTGCTTGAATTTTCCTTGTTTCAGGTAGCAGGATGCCTTAAAATAAAATATTTAGTGTCTTTCACATGTAAATAAAGCAAACATTTTCATCTACAGGTGAAATAACAAAACATTTGTATTGTTTTATTTTCAGTTCTGGGATTGAACCAAGGTCTCTGAGCATGCTAAGCAAGAAATCCACCACTGAGCTATACCCCAACCCATTTTTTTTCTTTTTTCTTTTTTTAATTTTAATTTATCCTTATTTTGAGACAGGGTTTTGCTAAATTCCCCAGGCTGGCCTTGGATTTGCAATCCTCCTGCCTCAGCCTCCAAGCAGCTGGGATTACAGGTGTGCAGAACATGCCCAACCACATCTGTAACATACCAGGTTGTTTTTCGTCTTGGCCACATTGGGGTCGTCGGGTCCCAATTTTGTCTGGTAGATCTCCAGGGCTCTCTGGTAATAATATTCTACTTCTTCATATTTGCCCTGGTTCTGGCACAGTAAGGCCAGGTTATTTAACTGCTTAGCAACATCAGGGTGATCCTTTCCTAGAACCTGGGAATAGAGAATGGTAAAATGGAAACATTAGCGGTGTCACCACCCTCCTGTAGGAAGGATCCTTCTAAATCATAAACATGGCTGAGTTCCACATCCAGACTTAAAAATCCTTAAATGGCTCCCATGCCACAAAACAAAGATAACCAGAGGGCAGGAAGGACTGTGCTGATTTTCCTTGGCTGCTTTTAAGTGCTCACTTCCTGTGACAAGCCTCCCGCAGGCAAATTACTGCCCACTACACAGAGAAAACAGAGAGCTGGGCTTCACAAAGGCTTGCTTTACCTGAGCCCAAATGCTCTCCCAGCTGCTTGGGCCCTCTTCTCTAGCCTCCCTGCTCTCAAGACTCATCCTGCAGGGCCCTCTTCAGCCCCGGAGAGGAGACCCCACATCCAAGGCCAGGGAGCCTTCGCCCCATCCCCACTGCCTCAGGAGCACGTCACCTGGCTGTTCTGTTCTCTCTGGGGAGTCTCATGACCCAAACCCTCTCCTCATCCTTTACTGCCAGACCCACCCAGGAAGAGACAGCCCACCATACCATCCACCCTGTCCATCAATCCTGTCACAGGACCCTGGCTAGAGAGGTGCCAGGTGCAGAAGAGTGAAGACATGCCCTGAGGCTCCCTGAACCTTGACAGCATAGTCCTCAGCTCTGTGCCTCTCACACACAGCCCCCAGACAGCACACAACCCTGCACCCTTCACACCCCCACTTCTCCCTGCTCAGGAAACTGAACTCAGCTATCCAAAATGCAGTTCAAACACTGACCTCCTCTGGAAAGCCATGCCCAGTGCACAGCCATGCCCTAAGCCTCCCACTCCTCTCCCACTGCTTGATCTGCAGATGATGGGCCCCTGGTCCCCAGGTCTGACTAGTGGACGGTGCAACGAGGCAGGGACTCTAACCAAGCAAGGGGCTCTGAATAAATTGAAGAGTAAACATCTGAATAAACTTGGAAGAACTTTTATTTCTTCTTTGAGACAGGGTCTCACTGTGTTGCCCAGAGCCTCCCATCTTAGCCTCCTGTGCAGCTGAGACTATGGGTGTGCACTGCCACACCCAGCTCAACTGGCAGATGATCTTATAGAGCTCATGATCCTTGCTACCTTTGTGTGCTCTGATCTGGACCTCAGCCAACTCAACTGTCCATTTTCTTTTATAAGGTATCATGTGATGACGACAAAATATTACCTACACAAGCCACGAGCTCCCTTTCACTTTCTCCCCAAAGTCCTTGCCATGACTCAAAATTAAGTGATTAATCTTTCAGCATGACTGAAACAATCACAAAAAATGCCAAGTTAAGCTATTACTTACTCTTAGGCACCCAGGACAGGCCTGACACCAGGTTCCACGCCATCTGGACGCACTCATACAGTGCTGCAGACACCACCACAGTAGTTTCTAGTTTTAGTTTCTATTTGTTTGTTTGTTTTTGGTTTCGGGGTTTTTTTATGTGTGTGTCGTGGTAGAGACTGAAGCCAGGGGCATGCTACCACTGAGCTACATTGCCAGTCCTTTTTATTTTGAGAAAAGGACTTGCCCAGGATGGACTCGAACTTGAAAACCTCCTGCCTCAGCCTCCTGAGTTGCTGGGATTATAGTGTGCACCATCACACCCAGCACAGTTCAATATCAAGCACCATGAACTGGAGCAGCCACTAATAAATACCCATGGCAATGACCTGGCCTAGAGCTCTGAGTTAGTCTTCAGTCCTAACATAATCACTCCACTTTTTAAGCTGTAAGAGGAATATGGAGTGAACTTACTGAGAAACACAAACACTGTTCAGTGCAGCTCAGGAGCCCCTTGTCTCTGGGCCACTTGGGACTGTGCCATCCTGAACACTCCCCTAAATGGGCCTCACACTCTGACTGGGCCAACTAGGCTCTGTTGGGAAGCTATCTTTTTATTTTTATCAGAGGGGGACTCGCTATATTGCCCAGGCAGGTCTTGAAATCCTGGGTTCAAGGGATCCTCCTGCCCCAGCCTCCCAAGTGTTGGACTATAGAGTAAATATCTGAACCACCATGCCCAGCTTATCAACCTTTATAAATGAGTTATTTTCAGTAAATGATCAGCAATGACTCATCACAGTGCTCATTTCTCAAAATTTAAAACAAAAATCTTTTCAAAACACAAAAAAACTGAATCTCAGAGAACACGAGTTCTTCATTATTTCGCACCTTTTCTCTGATCTCCAGGGCCCTCTTACACAATGGCTCGGCCTCTTTGTACTTCCCTCGTTTACCATACAGGACAGCGAGGTTATTCAGGGTTGCAGCCACCTGCCAACATAGGAGGACACAAGGACCGTAGGTAAGAGACGTCAGGAGCAGCAGCCACACACCCAGCAGACCCGGGCATGCTCCACACCGCAGCAAAGCACTCATCACTGATGGGAATGTGATTTCAGGAACACAGAACAGTGATTTGCTCACACCACTCACAACACACAGCACAGCAGAACACAGTTCTAAGATTAAATAAATCAACATCAAATTAACCTTGATTTTTTTCAATTTCTCCAAAAGCCACAAATAGATCTCTGCAAATCTGACCAGATTTTAATAAAAAAAACACACAGATTCTTGAGAAACAAATCTAGAAGAGGACATGCAATTTGATTTAGGGTCAGAGAGTATGTCTGGTGAGCCAGGTGAGGGGTAGTGATCCACAAATCAGGAGTGACTGGTACATGAGCACCAGAGCTTGCCTGCTGCCAGGCAGAGCCCTACCTGTGCACCTGGGAAGCGGCTCKCAGCCCTCGCTGTTGAGTGTGACACTGGGTGAGCCGGACAAAAATCACACTGGGCAAAAAAAAAAGTGTAAAAAGATCAAAAGAACCAGATATACAAACCGCAGGGTGATCCTTGCCCAGCGTCTTCTCACGGATGGCCAAGGCATCATTCAGCAGATTCGCTGCATCTTTGTATTTGTTCTGATCCCTGAATCAAAAACACATCATAAGTGTCCTGATGTGGGTTACTAAACCCACCCAACTACCTACCCACCCACCTACCTACCAACATCCTTACCCACCTACCTACCCATCCACCCATCTACCTACCTACCTAATGGTGCTGGCACTAGACCCAGGGCCTGGTGCATGCCACACATGTACATGTTCTAACACTAGCTACAGCCAGTCTCCTAACTCCTTTTAAATGTAATTTCAGAACTATAGAAATTAAAGTTAAGCTCCAAATACATAATTCAATATATAGAAAAACATATATGTACATGTGTATGTATGTGTGTGTGCAGGTGTGTGTGTGTGTGTGTGTGTGTGTGTATATATATATAGATGGATAGATATAGATATATGTGTGTGTGTGTGTGTTTTATTGTTATTGTTGTTGTTTTTAATCTAGTTGTGACACAAAAAGAGAAAAGTTCATGCACTGGGGCAAGGTAAGCTCTGGGTCACACCTGACCAGCTTCTGAACTTGGCCTCTCCTCTAGACCATGGAGACAACACTGCTACCTGCACTACGTGGGCCAGCAGCTCCACACAGAATACCGGAGGCAGTCTAAAAAGGATGGAGCCCACATTTGGCATGAGTAGGAATGGACTTCAACATCCAAGCCAGGCCAGCCAGCAGCATCAACACAGCTGGAGCTTGCTTGTCCAAAGGCCAGACCCACCCAGACCCACCTGGCCAGGAGCTTTAGGAGCAGGGCCCAGCATACTGGGACTTGAAGAGCCCACCAGAAATTCAGATGCAAAATGAAAACAAAGGCAGAACTATAAGCATTAAAATTTTAAGAGAAGAAATGGGCAAGTCACACAGAAATTCACAGGAGAATATGCATGACTCAAAGAAATACCAATTAAAACAAAAAGATAGTCGACTAACACCACCCAGATAGGAGATACTGCAGCAGGAGGACAAACAGCACTGTCCCCTGAAAAGTAGTTCAGCAGTATGATTTACACACTGGCTCATCTTAGGTATTCACTCTAAAAGCCAGGGGCATCCCAATGCAATCCCAGCTACTCAGGGAGGCAAAAAACAGGGGGATCGTATATTCAAGGCCAAGCTGGGAAGTTTGGTGAGATCTGTCTCAAAATAAAAATTAAAAAAGGGCTGGGATTGGGCTGGGGCTGTAGCTCAGTGGTAGAGCGCTTGCCTTGCAGGTGTGAGGCCCTGGATTCAATCCTCAACACCACAAAAAAATAAATGAACAAATAAAAATATTGTGTCCTTCTACAATTAAAAGAAATATTAAAAAAAAAAAAAAGAACTGGGGTGTGGCACAGTGGTTGAATGTTTGCCCAGCACACACCATGCACCAGTCCCTGGGTTCCATCCTCAGCACTACCAAAAAAAAAACAAAAAACAAAAAAAACCAAGGCTGACCCAGGTGGATAGATACTGGTAGATACTGGCAATGCCTACTCCAGCTTAGTGAGACCCTTGCCACAGAGTTCGCTAAATATTTTGTATGTAACCCCTGGCTATTTGAAGAGAAGCAGATGAAAAGATTGGAAAGTAGCTCACACAAATTTATAAAACATATTTTAAGGGGCAAGCTGATTAAAAAGTTATCTCCAGATAGGCAGGGAGGCACATGTCTATAATCCCTGCAGCTTGGGAGGCTAAGGCAGGAGGATCACAAGTTTGAGATCAGCCTCAGCAACTTAGTGAGGCCCTAAGCAACTTAGACCTTGTCTCAAAATGAAAAATAGAAAGGGCTAGGGATGTGACTCAGTGGTTAAATGCCTCTGGGTTCAATCCCCAGTACCAAAAAAGTCATCTCCAGGTACAATTCAGCATAGAAACCTAAGGACTAGCCTGTACACCAGGGCCAGGATGTTGAGCATGGTGGCCACATCAGGGTGGTCATGGCCTGAAGTCTTCTCCAGATCCTCCAGGGCCTGTTTGCAGAGCGGCACAGCCACCTCGTAGCGCCCCTGCGAGGCATACTGGATCACCAGGTTGTGGAGTGTGCGTAGCCGCGCCGGGATCTCGTAGCCGCCTTGCTGGGCAGCAGCGGCAGCACTGCTATGCTGCTGCTGGACTGCACAGAGAAAGCACAGTTCAGAGGGCTGGCAGGACAGCTACACAGAAGGCAGTTAGTTTGACATTTTTCCACTACCTCTGATTCAAGTTAGCTCTATGCCAATTCAACCTGCAAATATCCCCTGGGCAAGATGGGAAAGAACCTCAGCCTGACAGGGACGGTGCCCTGTCCGCTGCTAATTGCATCAGACTTCCTGGCTGTAAAACTGATAGGAAGAAGTAACTCCAACCTCTTCTACCTGCAAGACCTGCAGGCCACACCTGTACCATGAGTGTACATTTGGTTCTTAGGTCCAGCCTTCACACCACCATAGCCCCAAACACCTTTAGGGGACAAAGACAATCGTGTGTGCTGAGGCTTTTGTGCTACGGCTCCCACTGACTGTCAGGAGCATCCTCAGAGAGAAAGTGGACTCCAGTAGACTGCATGATGAACCACACTACTCGCCACTCACTTCCTTGGCCTGGCTCATCCTCGTCATTTGGGAAGAGATCATCTAGGGGCTCTTTGGCAGAATCGGTGTCCTTGTCCTCCTACAAAAGAGACCCAAAGCATCTCTTATTCTACAGCAGTACACATCCTGCCTGAAAATCTATAACATAAAATTCATTTAACTAAAAATCTTAGGAAAGATTGGCAGTGTTTAAGCTCACAGAGTCACCAGCCATGTGGCTCACCTATCAGTTCAACAGAACAATGAAGTGCTCGCGAGAGTAGACACCAGAACACGTAAATACAGGCCAGGGTTTGATAAGACAGACGGCTATACTTCTCTGCCTCCAATTCTTCACCTGTGCTCTAAGAAGGCTCCAGCAAAGCAGAGCAAGGCTTATTTGAAATAAAGTCTTATTTGCAAACAGACTACTATGGAGCACCTCTGATCGCCACAGCTTGAACTCTCTGTTTTTACCCACCACTGCTCCACTGCAAGAGCCCAGAGAGCAGGTGGGAGCTATCGGTCTCTGCTCTGTGATCCCGCCTCCCCACAGACTGCTGGTAGTGCATCCTGGATGAGGGAACAGACGCGGCTGGCCCAGGTAAAGTGTTAGCAGTCATGGGGCAGCAGACACTGCTGCTGGGAGGTGAAACCTGGTAAATTCACGTACTTTTAGAGTGTACCTCTGGGAGTACAGAATCCAAACATGACACAGACCCAAACTGGCTAAAGTGGCTGGGCCGCACTAAGACACCAAGGTCATTAGAGACAAAAATGACTGAGGGCTGCTGCAAATGAAAGAGGGCTAAAAAGTGGGGACAACAGTGTGCAACACACAGTCCCAAACTGGATCCAGGATGCAGTGACAATACGCCGGGAAGGACACTGCTGAGACAGTTAGCAGAGAGGAATCCAGGCTGCAGAGGAGAAAAAGTGCCCATTCGTGTTCGAGTACCTGAACCAGCCCTGTCCCTGGGCTTCTACGGGAGAACAGCCTCACTAGGGAACTACACCCAGAAGCAGCAAGGGGCAGCGCATGAGGTGCCTGCCTCCTACTCCAAAGGTTCAGAAGGAACAATAGCTCATGAGAGTCAGCTCTAAACCTGTCTTCTCCAAGTCTGAATTTTTTTCAAAATAAAGAGCTTAAAAATCTTTGAGAAGCCTCATTCTCAACACTCTTCAGTGTTGCAGGTAAATCACTGGCTGACACCATGAACTCTTATTCCCATAGCAGTCTAAGGGGGATAGAGTAAGTCTAACAAATCAGAATGATATCACCTCAACTATTTCCCCTGGGGACTAGAGCTAGATGAGCCAAAGTGTGAGGCTCATGATACAACGCGTGTCCTCATGAGAAGAGGACCCAGTGAGTTGGTTTATATGTATTCTTTCCACCCCACCATGCAAGGGCAAGCAAGAAGGTAATTGCGAGCCAGGAAGAGAGCCCTGATCTCAGATTCCCACCTCCTGTGGTATTTTGTCATGGTGACCCAAGTAGAAGGCAAGTGCAGGTTTGCTGGTGTTCCACACAAGGATGCTCCAGGGGTCTTAGGACAAGGTTCCAACTAGGGACACCAATGTGGAACTCACTGTACACTGATCATGCATGTGACTATGTCTGGCACCCAGAGAGGCATAAAATAAAATCCAGTTCCAAATACTCTATAAAGTCCTAGAGGTAGGATCCTGGAACAGAGAGGGTCCACTACTGGAAGGACTGACAACATTCCAATAAAGTCTACAGTTTAGTCAAAAGTAGCATATCAATGGTAATTTCTTGGTTTTGAAAAACGAATGCTGGGGCTGGAGCTGGAGCTCAGTGATAAAGCGCTTGCCTCACATGTATGAGGCACTGGATTCGATCCTCAGCACCAAATAAAAATAAATAAAGCTATTGTATATTCATCTACAACTAGATAAATATTTTAAAAAAAGAAAAAGAAAAACGTATGCTGATGTAAAATGTCAAGGTTGGAGAGAACTAAGTAAAGGGGATTTGGGAATTCTCTTCACTGTCTTTTCAACTTTTCTCCCAATCTAACATATTATTCCAAAATAAAAAAGAAGCTAACTGAATCAGAAATAAATGGTGGAAGAAAAATAATTGAGAGTAGGATGAATACTCAAAGAGAGCCAACATAAAAAGAAACAAGACCTCTGAGGCACCCTGACATTCCAGGAAGGGAAAGGTGAGCTGGCTAGGGAGGCCTAGGAGCCACAAGAGAGGCAGCAGGAAGACCTGGCAGTGTCCTAGGCGGGCATCAAGGATGAGGTCAAAGACGAGGTCAAGGACAAGCCCAGAGTTGGACTTCAGATAGTGGTATTGGCCCTGCTGACCCAGCAGCCAGTGGGTATGGAAGCCAGCCCATGAGGGCAGGGAATGTCAGGAGCAGTGGAGCAGAACTTGGTGATTCAAGGCCTGGTATTGACAAAACGTCCTTTACACCTTCTGATCACTGTTCTAAAAACACACAAGAAAGACACGATAGGACATCTACCCCTTGCTGAGCCTCCATTCGCAGCCCCCAGCTATACTGCATATCAGCACCATCTCATGAAGGAGCCACTCACTCACCGAGGGGGAAATGTCATCGTCATACTTTTTGAGCTGGTTCATAAATTCCAGGTGTTTCTTTTCTTCCTCCAGCTGAGCCACAGACTGCTCACTCTTCTGTAACTTCTGTTGTGTGTTGGCCAGCTCATCCCGCAGCCACTGATTCTCCTGGCACAGGCGACGAACCTGCGCACGTAGTTTCTGTTTCTCTGACTCAACAGCATTTAGGTGATTTGACAAGGCCATCATAACCTGGACAGAAGAAATACTATCGGACAATAGCCAACAAGAGCCCCTCCTATCCACTTGAGCACCTGAGAGCAGCTCTGACACCTGCAGGTATCTCCTTCAATTCACATGCAATTCAGCCACAGACAACACTCCGGGGTCTATGGAAAGTTATCACGTGCTCACATTTACAAAATACACCAATTCTTTTTACATGAGAGCACCTCAAGGTGATTATCAATAGGCACACATCTACTCTCTTGACACAGCTGCAATCTACCTCCATATGGGCACTTTCCACATGAAAGCGGGTGTCCCAAGCACAGGTAAGTGAGGGGCTGGTGGTAGAATCAGGAAGGGGGGCATTAGACCTCCTTCCACATACGGGAGGAGTTTCTAGCCACCACAGAGCATCAGAAGGCACCAGCATGTTCACTAGCTTATGTTTGCTGCACAATCTGCTGGCTGCTCCAGATCTCTGCCAGCTGTGTACTCACTGGCACCTGGGGGCAGACCTACCTAAAGCTGTTCTGAGCAAGCTGCAAGGAACATAAAGGCAAAAAAGGGGTGAGGAGCCAGGCACAGCAGTGCACACCTATGATCCCAGTCACATGGGAGGCTGAGACAGGAGGATTGCAAGTTCAAGGCCAGCCTGGGCAACTCAGCAAGACCCCGTCTCAAAAACTAAAAGGGGGGCTGGGGATGTGGCTCAAGCGGTAGCGCGCTCGCCTGGCATGCGTGCGGCCCAGGTTCGATCCTCAGCACCACATACGAACAAAGATGTTGTGTTCGCCTAAAACTAAAAAAAATAAATAAATATTAAAAAAAAAAACACACAACTAAATGGGCTGGGAATATAGCTCAAGGGTAGAGCACCCCTGGGTTCAATCCCCAGTACCAAGGGAAAAGAAAGAAAGAAAAAAAAAAAAAAAAAAAGCAGGGAGTCAACTGGCCTCAGCCTAGTCCCTCTGCAGATCGTGCCCCTCTCCTGTGCCAGCACAGAAACTACGTTACTTCTAGGTCTACAACTTGAAACTCAAAGGGGGAAGCTGAGGTGGGAGTATCCCAAGTGTGAAGTCAGCCTCAGCAATTGGTGAGACCCTATTCCAAAATTTAAAAATAAGTAAAAAGGACTGGGGATGCAGCTTAGTAGTAAAGTACCCCGAATTCAATTCCCAGTAAATTCATTTATCCACTCAAAACTCCAGGAGGTGGGCTTTTAGTTCCTCCCCTTCCAGCCATCCTAGTACTGAGGACTGAACCCAGCGGCACTCTATCAATGAGCCACATCCTCAGCCCTTTTTATTTTTTGAGACAGGATCTCACTAAGTTGCTGAGTCTGGCCTCAAAATTGTGATCTCTCCCCCTCAGCCTCCTGAATTGCTGGGATTACAGGTGTGAGCCACTGTGCCCAGCTTCTTCCTGCCTATTTTTTTAAACCTACCATCTGCCAAACTGAAAAAAAGGAAGCTCATGTTCACACTATCTTTCAATAACAGAAGTTGGGAAATAACAGGATCACAAAATCCAAAGTTCATGATCTACAACCAGCATTTGTACAGGGTGGGAATGAAGAACTCTAAAATTGGGGCCTAGATGGTCACTGAAGAACCGGTGACTCAGCAGCTACTCTTCTGCACCATTCCTTCATTATAAACACAAAAAGCCGAGAGAGAGCCAAGTTTCAGTGTACTGACTTTAACCTCAGATCTGCTGACAAAGCCAGAAGCTTTCAGGGGTGGGGAAGCGACCAAGACATTTCCAGTGTTTTCATGTCTGTGTGGCACATGACAGAAACAGACCTTTAATCAGATACATAAAGCAATCTGGCCTGGCTACTGCAGAGCCTACTGGCTGTTGACCAGCATCCACTCTCCCCCAGCTTCTTGGGCTCATGCACCTGGAACTGTGAGCAAGACAACATTCCCCAGTCCCTCACAGCCAGGGCAGCCACAGAGAGAGGATCTGGCCAATGCACCGTGAGCAGTGTTGCACATGCTTTAAGGGGCGGCCTTGAAGGAGGTAGCACGTCCCTTCTCTCACTTCTGCTATCTTCGAACAAGATCATGTGGCTGCCACTGGAGTTCCACCTAGTCCCTGAGATGGCTGCCAGCTTGTAGTGCAGCAGGTGGCAGCAGCCTGAGCATCCCTGATGACAGGGCAGCGGCAAAGACCACCTAGGACAGCCTACCTGGTGCTCATTTCATCCATGTCTTTGTTGCTTAAGCTATTGTTTTTGTTGTTTGACACAGGATACCAAATCAAACCCTAAATGATACACAGGGATACCGCCATGTAAAATTCAAGTATGCTAAAGTGAGTTTTCATTTATATGATAGACACACCTCAACACAAGTAGATCTCTAATATTCTACAGGCATCTTCTCTCTACTTGAGTTAAACTGCCTATTTCAAGACTCCACTTTTCCAAACCATCAAGTCCACTTTCACAACAAATGGCTCTTCCACTTACCTGCGCCTCACTCAGGCCGAGCTCTAGCATCTCCAGTGATTTCCGTATCATGTTGGATTTCTCCTCCACCAGGTTGCTCTCATCATCTTTCTTCAGACACTTCAGTGTCTCCAGCAAACTCTGCAAAATGGAGTTGTGCTCATTCTTCAAAGCCTCCAGGCCCTGAATTACTTGCTTGGTCTTGGAGATGATCTCATCCTGTGTAAGCTTCTCCAACTTGTCTTCCTTTATGTACACCATTGTGGACATGTTGTCATACATTCTAGAGGAAAACAGGAGAATCAAATACCTTGTTATAGGCTTCCCTCCTGTGATAGCATTAAACAGAAACACTTGTGAAAACTTTTAAATTACATTTTATAGGTAAATAATACCTGTGCAATTTATGATTTTGAATACTATGTTCTATATTGTTTCTGTTTTGCCTTTGCAGGCCCATTAAATTACTTTTCTGGTTTAATGCCTGAATTCTTTTTTATGGATAACTAAAATTAACACCAAAGATTAAAAGCAGCAAAACATCCAAAGGTCATTTCCAAAACATACAATTTCAGTGAACATTTTATCTGAATATTTGCATGCTTTATTTTCTCAATGAAATGCAGTCCAAGAAGAAAACCCAGCAGAGGCACAAGGGGGAGTTAGAGGGGCTGGAGAGGACTAGACCATGAGGCCTAAGACCCAGTGATGCAGCAGAACAGTCCATGTGGCCATGACCAAGGAGGACAAAGTCCAGGGGCTAAAGTGACTCCATGTTGGGGCTGCCATGACACCATCACTGTGAGAAAGAAAGAAGGAAGGAAGGAAAGGGCACTGAAATGGAATCAGCCAAGTGCTGGTAACTACTGGCACTAAGCAACAGTGCCTTTTACAGTCTTCTCTAGTTCTGTCTTCAATCTCATAATAAAGCTTAAAAACTGGGTCACATTAAGACCATTTCTGCACAGTAGCAAGGGGCACAGAGGTCAGGTTATCCATCCAAAACAGGTCCTTTGTGCCACCTGCCAATTTCTGAGATGTCAGTGTCTTCACAAACTATCTTACAGCCCCAGAACAGACACTGTTACAAATGAGGAGAGGAGGCTGGGATTTGGCTCAGGGAACAATGCTTGCTAAGTGTGAACCTTATACCCTACAGAATGCACAGCACCTAGGACAGCTCCTGGCCCAGGCATCATCAGGAAAATGGACAGACGTAAGTTGAATGAAGAAAAGAAGGGGAAGTAGTGGGTGCAGACCACACATGCACAAGTTTGGGGTGCAAGCTGAAGGTGTTTGAGAACAGGACCATGTGAGCCTCTGCATCACCAATTTATTTCACACTGGAAAAATGATTTTTTTAAATTAATAAGACAATTCCTTTGACACTGGGAGGCTACCTGCAGGACTATTCAGAAATCTATCTCCTCCACATTAACAAGAGCCCACAGAACAAAGAAGGAACAAGGGCAAGCCTTCTCCCTAGCAGCGCATCATCTGTTATTATTTTTAGTGTATAGCTACTCAGCATATGGTTTTCCTACTTCACTGTAGCCAAGTACCAGGCTGGACTACAGCACACTGCTGGGCAGTGCTACAGCTCGCGGAACAGGGGCCTGTCTGTCCTATGCAATATACATTATCAGCCTGCCACATGGCATGCCTGTGCTAAATGACTGCAGGAGACAGTTTAGAATTGTTGGGCTTTTTGTTTGTTTTGTTTTGGTTTGGTTTGGGTGCTGGGGATTAAACCCAGGGGCACCCTACCACTGAGCTACATCTCTGGCCCTTTTAAAAATTTTACTAAATTGCCCAGGCTGGCCTTGAACTTGTGATCCTCCTGCCTCGGCCTTCCAAATCACTGGGATCACAAGCAAGTGGCATAGCACCCAGTTAGGATCAGTTTTCAATGAAATCACACTGCACTAGATTAATAAAATGCTTATCTCTAAGGTTCCTTATATTGAAAGGAAGGGGTCTCCAGGATTCATGTCCATGAAGAAGAAAAATAAAAATCAAGTCCGCCTTCTCCGCCTTTCTCTATCCTTGGCAGCACATCCCTGGTGAAAAACAGCTGGATTTCTGTAGACATACTTGCTACAACTGAGCTTGTTGAACTGATCCAATATTTAGTTATAAAGTTATTCCTTTTCCTGAATTACAATATCCCTCCTTGTAACTTCTGTCCATTGAGCCAACTTCTTCCCTCTAAAATAAATACAAAACATTTTCTGCCTCATCCATATAACATTTCAAGTATTACATTGCAGAAACAGATATTACCAAGCCTTCCATCTCCCAAGCTCACACCTCTTACCACCCTCAGGTCAGAACCATTTCCATATCTTTCATCCAATCACCATGATGCAAACATACATTCATGCTAYGTTTATGGGAGGAAGACAGTGGCATATACATTTATACTGCTTGATATCTCTTGTTTCTGAGCCATTATAACCAAAGGTAGGTCACATGATTGTTAATCAGCTTTTTGTGACTGTGACAAGTATCTAAGAAAAACAACTTAGAAAAGATTTATTTTGGCTCAGGGTTTCAGAAGTTTTAGTCCATGGTCAGCTGGCTCCAAGGCAGAAACATCCAGACAGAAGGGCACGGCAGAAGAAAGCTGCTCAGTTCATGGCAGCCACAAAGCAGAGACAGAAAGCTAGACAGACACTGAAGAAGGGAACACGAACAAGATATAGTCCCCAAAGGTATGCCCCCAGTGACCTACTTCCTCCAACCATGTCCCACCTGCCCAGTTTTCACCTCCTCCCAGTTATTATTCAAATTATTAATCCAGCTGGGGACTATAGTGCACCCCTGTAATCCCAGCAACTCAGGACGCTGATTACAAATTCTAGGCAAACACGCAACTTAACAAGACCCTGTCTAAAATTAATATATTAGAAAAGGGTTGGAGGTATAGTTCAGAGGTATAAATACCCCTGGGCACAATGCCCAGTACTGCAAAATAACAACAACAACAACATTTAACCACCCATTAAATGAATTAATTCACTGAAGAAATCAAAGCCCTTACGATCCAATTATTTCCTAAAAGTCCTACTCTGGACACTACCATACTAGGGACTAAGTCTTCAACACAAGAGATTGTGAGAGACATCCATATCCAACCCATAACAATGATAAATAATACTAAGGCAATTAGCTATTAGAATAAAATTAAGGGAGCTGGGCATGCAGCTGTAGTCCCAGCCATGAGAGGCTGAGAAGGGAAGACTGCTTCAGCTCACCAGTATGAGGCCAGCAAAACAATATAGCAAGACCCCATCTCAAGAATAAAGAGGGCTGGGGGCTGGGGATGTGGCTCAAGTGGTAGCGCGCCATGCCTGGCATGCGTGCGGCCCGGGTTCGATCCTCAGCACCACATACCAACAAAGATGTTGTGTCCGCAGAGAACTAAAAATAAATATTAAAAATTNTGTTGTGTCCGCAGAGAACTAAAAATAAATATTAAAAATTCTCTCTCTCTCTCTCTCTCTCTCTCTCTCTCTCTCTCTCTCTCTCCCCTCTCTCACTCTCTCTTTAGGAAAAAAAAAAAAAAGAATAAAGAGGGTTGGGGTTGTGGCTCGGTGGTAGAGTGCTTGCCTAGCTTGTGTGAGGCACTGGGTTCAATTCTCAGCGATAGATAGATAGATCCATCCATCAACAACTAAAAACTATATAAAAAGAAAGAAAGAAAAAAGGGCTAAAGCTATAGCTCTGTGGCAAAGCGCTTGTCTAGCATGCATGGGGCACTGGGTTCAATCCTCAGCACCACATAAAAATAAATAAAGGTATTGTGTCCATCTACAATCACACACAAAAACTTTTTTAATAAAAAAAGAGAAAAAATATTTTACCCTCCCTATACACTAAATTAAACTCCAAATTTTTGATTAAAAAAATTAAATGTGGGAGTTTGTTTGCAGTACAGACTGACCCAAGGCCTTATACATGCTAGGCAAGCACTCCACCACTGAGCTATACTCCCAACCCTAAATGTGCTTTTTCTAAAAACACAAGAAACTAGAAGAAAATACAGGCAAAGGTCTATATGCACATAGGCCAAAGTACATCACATTTGCCGGGCATGGTGGCACATGCTATAATCCCAGCAGCTGCAACTTATCGAGACCCTGTCTCTAAATAAAATGTAAAAAAGGTCTGGGGATATAGCTCAGTGCTTAAGCGCTCCTGGGTTCAATCCTTGATACAAAAAAAAAAAAAAAAAGTAAAGCACATTCTGTGAATAAAAGCAACAGCAAAAAACTGAAAGACTGATGAGAGTCTACTCAAATTTAATATAGAAACGAAACCTGTTTCTGAGAGAACACTATTTTGCAGCCCATCACAGTGAAGAGTCCAAAACTGCACAGACTGTGACTCAAGGCTGAGGCACAGCTGGCTGACCTCTGAAAGCTCCCCAGAAGCCTTCGTCACACTCACATAGCCTGCCTGCTTTCCTGATCTACAAACCACACAATCCTGTACCTGTTTTCAACTTCTGATGTGTATGCCTCCAGACAATTCGGTAAGACAAAGAAGCAACCAGAGCCATGCCATAAAGAGATGTTTAGTGAACAAGGAAAGCTGCTTCAGAGGCTATGTGTCCACCTCCCACATGACTGCAGAGCTTTCACCTCCTGGATATTAGGTGGCATTGATGCTCCCCCTGATCTGCAATATACTATAGGCTTAAAATATTCCCACGCCCTCTTCTCCAAGTAAAGTAGAAAATATCTAGTCCCGAGTTATTAATTAACCATGGTGAATTTTTTTAATATTTATTTTTTAGTTGTAGTTGGGCACAATATCTTTATCCCTCTGATTTATTTTTTTAATATTTTTTAGCTGTAGTTGGATATAATACCTTTATTTTATTTATTTTTATGTGATGCTGAGGATCAAACCCAGCGTCTTGCACATACTAGGCGAGCACTCTACCTCTGAGCCACAACCCCAGCCCTCCCTCTGATTATTTTTATGTGGTGGTAGGGATCAGACCCACGGCCTCACCTGTTCTAGGCAAGCACTCTACCACTGAGCCACAACCCTAGCCCACCATGAATTTTTTTATTGTCTTTTTATTCCCAAAGATAAACAAACTCCTTAAAGTCAATTATTTGCTCTGTGAGAGCAAAAGAATTTAATGCAAAATGTCCAGTGTAGAATCTGAGAAACTATATGAATCAAACCTCTAAAAGCCATTGTTCAACAGGCTAAGATCTGGGACAAATTAAAGCCCTGGCTCCATGAGGTCAAGGAATTGCATACGGT